CTTAAACAATGGTACAATTCGAAAGTAAAAGACGTTAATGGGACATCTTCAGACACCGCCATAATGGCTACTGTTGAAAAATTTATTTGAGATGGTCTAGTATCTAACGCAGAATAACTTGGAGAACTTGGTGTACGTAAATTTAAATTTGGTTTTTTCCAACTACCTACAATAATAGTGAGTTAACATGACTACTTACTGCACCAAACTAACATACCTAAAATACGATGACCTAGCAAATTTATAAGTCTTGTTACTACAATAGGATAACGTAATTTAATTGCATTAAAAATTCCCTCGGGCAATTTGGCCAGTTCTGAATCTCTAACCGCCATCACTGTTGTACTCCTTTTAGTTTGGGTAACCATCTCCACCTATCGCAATTGTGAAACAACAAAAATTCAGTCTCTTTTCAACTTACAATTCCAATTAAGTCTCCTTTACCGTACTCGCCAACTAATTCCTTCTTTCCATTTTTATGCGTGATAACTGAACGCAAACGGCCGGATAATACAATAAATGTGGAATCACTTTCGTCGTCTTGTCTGTAAACAGCTTTTCCCGATTCGAGAAAAACCCAGTCTAGAGCAAAATCCACTTGCCGTACAAAGGGTGACAGTCGTTTCACTACCATGTCAGCAATAAAAAGGATGATACCCGGTTTCTCTTTCATTAAGCTACAAATGACAGTGTGGGTACATGCTGAAATGCAGGTTTTCATTTCTACTTATAAAAGGTGGCTTTTGAAATGATGGCAAGACGAGTAAAATGTTTGGCACGAATGTTAAAAAAATTTGTCTCTCCAGTTAAAACTGCCAGTCCACCGACAATTTCACCGGGATGTGCCGTGAACATGTGCACATCCTCATCAGTGTCTGTCATTCGTTGTGCTAGCGTTAATGACCCAGAAATAATGTACACTAATGCAGCATCCTGTAACAGAAGTGAATTTGAAAAAACTTCCCAAAAGAAACAAAGTACCTTATTTGAATCCTCCTTCATTAAGTAAGTACCTGCTACAACCTCTCGATACTCAACATTTCCCTTAAGCCATAAATCATCCTCGAGTCCCAGTTCGTGCACAAACACTTCGGTGGCACTCTGAATAATTGATGGTATATCGATATTTTCAATAACAGATAATCGCTTGGTTCTAGTTAATGCCTGTTGCAAATCGGGAGTCTAAAACAAGAGGTAATGGTTGAAGTTTTATATAACTCAATAATTCACCATACCACGTTACTATACGGCTGATCTAAATCGGGTACCATATCTGGCGTATTATAATTGGGAGAGTGTTTGGTTTCTAAACAGGATTTACTACGACGATAAGTTGGTACAGTAACTGGCTTAGAACTTGGCTGCATATTATCCGTGGGTTCCCAATAAAATCCCTCAATGTCTTCACGTTTTATCGGTGGCGTGTCCTTTGTTTTGCTACGTTGAGGTGAACTCATTAATGGATGCCTATGCTTACTAGTTCTTGGGCCCTATTTGGACATAAATTTATTTATCGCAGCATTAACAGTACCTTAGAGCTAAAGGTGTAACATATTAAGTATTTAACTTTTTTGATTTCGTAAACATTTTCCAAAATTCCAACTCAAAATAGCGCACCTCTGAAGATTGAAAATAATAAATCTAAAATTAGGATGACAAAGACTAGACAAGAAAATGCTCCATTCTACATCTAAATTAATTCAATCTGATCACATGCACTCTTAGCACATACCTAGAAGGAATGTTATGAGAGGGATTATTCAATGTTGTTCAATTGTTTCTACCAACTACCGCTTTTTTCACCTACCCTATATTGAGGATGGGATGGGGGTAGGAGGGGTGTCCTTCATGGTACTTGAAGATATTGGTTTCGGTTTTTGGTTTTGGCGACAATATTAAGAAAAATTGGGTGGGAGAGAAGAATTTTTCGTTGAACCTTCAAATCGAATCTATATAAGTTGAGGGCGTAACAATTATTTTCACCTAAAAGTTTCAAGACGAGTTCACATAATCGAGGGATACGGAAAATTTAACAGCCGCGTAATCGTACGTGAGATTTTTACTGTGAAAGTTGATGTTAATTGCCTAATTACAAGGGAAAACTGTGCCGCCAATTCGTCAAAATTATTGTCATCTCAACACTAATATAAAGTGGTTATTTCTGTGAGCGAACATTTTCCTTTCATTTGAACAACGTGGTCGCGCTTAAATACATTTTACCACGAAAGCGTTGTGGCCCAAAGTACAAAACGTTCATTGCGTTTATATTTGGGATGGTTAGTTAACATACAAAACAAGGTTACTAACCAAATTTGTCCACCTCTCTTGTTTATATGAAGCGATAATAAGATTCTAATTTAAACGGCAACCGGTAAATAGTTTAAAAACGATTAATTAGCGCTTTTGTTAGCTGTTAAAACCACCTGTATTCAAAGAGAAAATTGACATTTCAATACTGCAGAATATTGGTAAATTAGTCCAGTGAGTGAGTCAACTACTAAATTTCGAGGAACCTGAAGCCCGGTTTGTGCCTGATTCAAATCGTCAACCATCTTGCTGCTACCTTTCAAAGGGAGAAACTCAAGAGTCATTTTGAGAAAATGTTGACTCATTGATAAATGTAAGTTGAAATTTTGGATTGTATAAAAACAGGAGTCGATCTTTCTTGGAATTTATGCTTAAAGTCAATTTAACATTCCTGAAAAGGTCGACCCACGGAAGTTAATTCCATGTCCAAGATAAGGATATCTATCATGGGGATCTCCGAAACCATAGAAGATATTACGAGATATTATGATAGTGGTCATATTAGGAAAAAATTGCGCAATTAATACATTTATTATAATGCTTTAAAGAAAACCAGAAAATTCCAACTACTTCTGAAGATATGTCAGAAAAACCGAAATTAGTCGATTTTGTTTTTATTTTTTTTTTATCTTATTTGAACAGTTAACTCGCGCACAACTCCCTAATTGTGCGAGAATACCTATCAGGCTTTTCCATTTTCTTTATTTCTGTTTTTGTACTGTTGATCGTTTATGCTCTTATTTTCGAACTTGTTGGGTAAGGGATTGAATAAACTGAATTATTTTATTCAATGATACACCTACATTGAAGAGTAAAAAATTGAAAAACAAAACAACTAACTTTAAGAACCATAAGTAATTAAAATAAAATGCAAATAACTATAAAAGAAAGAATTTTTTAGAGCATGTGTTATTTGGCTTTACTAATGCGTGCTACATAAATATGTAGGTACCTATTGATTGCTACTTTATGGAAATGGCAAGAAGTTCGCACTTCCTAATGATTATGATTTCTTATCTTGAAAATGTTTTATCACATAGCACTAATAAAGGAAAAAATATGACCACATAGGTCCATGATAATGGTTTCACTAGACATAATTATCAGCAAATTAAAACACAGGACTAAATTATAAATTGCAATTACTTTTTTAATTGGATATGCTACTTTTATTGTTAAGCACTTGCTAGTGAGTAAAATAGGTTTTATCTTGGGGTTCATGCCTCTATTAACCTACTTGGTAATCTTTGTTCGACTTTATGGCATATCTCCAATTGATACGTTTAAAAATTGTAAAAAAGGAATACCTGATTAATAAGTTCTGTGCTAAGACCCAGATACTGATGAAGCGCTGTAAAAGTAACTCGTTGAAGTCGTACCATAATAACCTGTATGACTCTAATAAAGGTATCAGGGCATTCGTGAAAAATTTCATGAAAAGCAGCCATAGGAAGTTTTACAATTGTAGAATCCTCCATGGCCTTTGCGGACACTGTTCTGTACGGATTTGGATGACCCTACCAACAATTTTAATACACATTGCAAACCTTAAGACAACCATACCGTAAGGACATCTGTAAAACTCAGTAGGGACGTAACAGATTCGCCAGTTTTAACCATCTTTAACGATAAAATTGATCCATCCACAGCCGTAATAAACACGTTAACTTTACCACTCTGAACAATAAAAACATTTTCATCTGGTTCGCCGATTTTAAAAAGAAATGAACCTGCGGGCACGTTCATTATTTCCGTTTGTTTGCATATTTTTAGAAAAACTGGAGTTTCAAAGTAGCCAAAAACTCGCATGCTTTTTAGCAAGTAGTACACATCCCTCGGCATACGATCATCACTAAACAAGTCTTCCTCCAAATACTCGGCGGGCGGCTCTAAAACCTGTAAGATAAACGATATAGTAAGTTTCCAACTGGCAGTTCGACCACCTTTAATTGCTCCAATTCATTTTCTTTACGTAGACGCAACAACTTTCGGGCAAATCTCATTACCAGTTTTCGTTTTCGGCCCTGACCGGAACTGCGAACTTGACCCGATAACGATTTGACTTTCCTTAACATTTTCCTTCCATAAAACAGTGCTTTGTCTCGTTTTCGAAAACGTGATCCCCCAAAAGGTGTAGATTGCTTTAGAGATATACCTGCTTGCAAGTTATTTAGAAATTATGGATAGTTTGTAATTTACATACCTCGTATTTGCCATCTGCGGAAACTATACCAACAAGAACATCCAAGAATGGCAAAGATAAGTAGGGCTAACGCGTAATTAAACTGGAAGAGTAACATGCCTAATGAATAATTGTTTTTAGTTTCAACAGATTAAAAACATTCTGAAGTGTGAAATAAAATGGAATTATAACTTATTTTAATTAATGACTAATAAAATTGCGTTATTATTGTATAATAAGATAAAATGCGTATTAAATAAACAATAAACACGAATTATTAATACACAATACAATAGTTGACTGAATCACCTTGAACACTAGTAATTCCAAAATCACTTCAAAGTAGTTGGTATAAGTACTTCCAATCCAAAAAGATTTTAGGACGTTTCCAAAATCTCCATTAATTTCATTTAACAAATTCAAAATATCCATTTTTAAATTACATCCTAATAAACCATTTTCGTTTTTAAACTATTTTATTTATACATTATTTGACATTTGACAGCTACATCAATATTCCTGTCAGATAACACCAGCTGATATCAGTGGCGTAACTAATACTAATTTATTAAATCTTGGGCGTTCGTGAAAGCAATCCGAAAAGTTAACATTTTAGTTTATATCTGATTTGGGGTGAGTTTCCTTTGGTACTTTCCTAGTTCCTTCACTTCATTATTTAATATAACACGTTTTCGCCGATAAAACTAAAGTTAACATTAGATTTACATTAAGATACAGTCAGCTTATGTACATGTACATGTCTTTTTTTAAAAGCCGCTTTACAGGCAATTTTCGTGCAATGCAAGAGCAATGCAAGTTAGAGATACGTTACTGCGCATGTTCATACGCAATTCAGGTGCAAGAAAAATAAATAGAGAAAGTTCTATTTCACTTGCAAGTTTGGCGCAAGTTCTAGTAACTTTTCTAGTAATTTTGTCAATACCACAATTTATTTGGTTTCGCGTGTGTTATTTTGTGTGTTTTTTTTAATAGCAAGCGCCACCACATAACAAGTTGTAACCAGTTTAATTTCCTTTTGTTTGCTCATACCTAATGGTCAATTTTATTAAGTTTCAAGAATAACCTTCTGCGTAAACAAACTGAAAAGTTTCAATTTTTGAAAAATATGTTGGCAGTACTGCAACACTTTTCTGAACTCGCACAAAAGTTGCAAGACAATTGCATAAATGTAAAACCGTAATAAGCAATGCAAGGCAATTTTAGATTGCATAGCAGAAGCCTTGCATTGCACTAAAATTGCCTAATGTAAAGCGGCTTTAAGGCGAAATTTTGGAGGCATTCCTTTGGAGTATGCTTTTTTAAGCGTGAATTCTTCAAGGATTTCGTTTGGGCGTGAAAATTTCGAAGGGAACGAATCTACCGAGACGAATATTTTGTCAATAATATGAAATTCTGGAATGTAATAGATATAACAGGTATAATATAATATAGCAATTATTTCAAGAGAGAGGTTTTGAATAATAATTTTCTTTAAAGCAAGTGAAAGTATTCTGGAGGAAGATAATCTCCAGGAGACGAACTTTCCGGAAGTGAACCTTTCTATGACGAATATTACGAGCCCGCAACTCATTTATCTAGCTAGTTTTCTTTGGACTTTATAGACAAATGTTTTAGGGCGGATTTTCAAGTAATTGAGCTAATGAAATTAAATACACCAATATTATTTTATTTTAAAATGTTCGAAACACACAACCAATGAAGCCCAGGGACGTGATGTAGACAATTCCCACCAATCCCACCTGGAGAATTAGCACCAATAAAATAATTTGCAGTCGGACAATTTGCACCGGGACATTTTATTGCTTCCATGATATTTCGCATCCTGGACATTTCGCTTCCGGATAATTCGCAACCGCGGAAAATTTGCATTAGGGATACTTTTGGTACTATAAGCATTGAATTTATAACTATCAATTCAATGCTATAAGTTCATGAAACTCGAGGAGATTTTCAATAAATATGGTACTACTATTGTAAGTCATTTTAATCATGTTTATTCGCATTCGTAGGAAGTTATCCAAGGAGAACAATACCTATTCCAATTTAGGTATTATTTCAGCTTTAGCGTCATAAGTAGGCTATTTTTTCCTGAAAAAGATTATTTTATTTAAAGTAATTGCTGTTTGTTTGCACCTAGAGCTAGACATTTTTTATCTTTTGTAGTCGTCTTTATTGTCGATTATATATATTTCCACTCCTTTACATAAGTTTACATAAAACATAAAGTCATAAAAGATAAAACCAAAAACCGACTCACCATCCTAACCTAGCTTAAATTCGTAACGTAACTAACTTCACAATGTACAGGGTGTTCTATAATCACCTACAGCTCGTCCATCCTGACTTACCGATCGACCTCGATCGTGTGCATACAGAAAACTAAAAATTTGAAAGCAAAATTCGTAACATGATTTCCTATTTACTATCTCATAAACGCAGTTTTAAGTATAAAATAAAGTACTTGTCTTTAACACATAACAAATTTCTAGGTTAAATTCTAAACTAAAACTACAAATAATACAATTAGTCAGACTCATACTCAATCTCAAAGCGATCGTCAATGTCACAGTCAAGTTCTTTACGTAAGTTTAGTGAGTAATGTCGAAGACGAGATGAATCGACAATGCCTTCATACGGGATTTGTGTATTTTGGTAACCGTCAATATCTGTGATGACATACCTATTATTTGATAAGACAGATTTTATTATATAAGGGCCTCTATATTTCGGTAGTAATTTCCTATTTGTTCCCATTGTAGAATCTACATTCTTTATCATAACATATTCTCCTTCTTGATACTTAGATGGTATTTTGTGCTTCTTATCATACTGAATTTTGTTTTGTTGTTGCACTACCAACGTGTTGTCACTTGCCTTTGACCTAATGTCGTCCAAGTTCCGATCCTCATTGTCATTCTCTTCTTCCAAAAATTCACGTAGGTGGTCTATGACCTTCCCACGCTGATCGATCCCAAAAACTAGTTGTGACGGAGTATTCCCAATGCTTCGGTTTATTGTATTATTAAAGTAAAACTCTACATCTCCTAAAGACGTATCCCAGGTATTCTTTTCTCGGCTAACTTTAGCTAATATAGGAGTGAGGGTTCTATTCATGCGCTCTACTTGACCATTCGCCCATGGTGCTCCCGTGGCGATAAGTATTTGTTGAACTTCATTATTGTTAAGAAAATCCTTAAAATCATTTGACGTAAAACATGTTCCTCGGTCCGACACAATTTTATATGGTTTACTGTAATTTGCGAAATATCTCTTTAAGTGTTTTATAACTTCTTGGGTATTTGTGGTTTTACAGGGATAAAGCTTAACAAATTTAGAAAATGCATCAACTACTAAAAATATATATCTGTATGTGTTTGCTGTCTTTTCTAACGGACCGTAATGATCAAGGTGTAGACATACAAACGGTTTTTTACCCTTTGGAATGTTATGTAATTCGCCTTCTTGTTTACCACTTTGGGGTGAATATTCAATACATTTTATGCAATTACTAATATGATTTTTAATTGTTTGTCTAATCTTCGGAAACCAATACGTTCTGGTTATTAATTCTTCCGTCTTGTCAATTCCACCGTGTCCCATCTCGTTATGGTATGTTTGTAAAATTGCTGGTATCATGCTGTGTGGTACAAAGAATAATAGATCTTTATTGCGTTTCCTGTACACTAGGCCATTTCTTAATTCGTAGAATTTGTCTTCAGAGTTCTCCAACTTCTTCTTAATTTGGTCAATTGACAAATCCATGGTTTGTTTCACTGCTAACGTCTGCTCAAGAGTGTTTCCTTCTAATACCAAAATATTCTGAGTACGGCTTAAGGCGTCTACATGTTTCATTCTGACATTTGAACGGGGTTCAATCTCGTAATCGTAATTTTGTAGAATTAGTGTCCATCTCATTATTCTTGGGACAATGTCCTTTTTCGCAAGAGTTAATCTAAAGCTGTCGCAGTCAGTGATAATCTTGAAATGAATTCCGTGCAAGTAAATGTGAAACCTTTTCAATGAATATATAATTGCAAGACATTCAAGTTCATAGCTATGGTATTTAGATTCCGTTTCCGATGTCCTCTGACTATAGAAACATACTGGGTGAAACTTATTATCATTCTGTTGCTGCATTAAAATGGACCCAAAACCTAACGCACTTGCGTCACAGTGGAGTTCTGTCTTCGCATGTGGACTGTAGATACATAAAGTGGGTTGTGATATCAATTCTCCTCGTAAGGTATCGAAAGCTTGTAATTGTGCAGCTCCAAAATTAAATTTAGCGCCTTTTCTCAAAAGGTTATATAATGGTTTTGCTATTAAAGAATGATTTTTTATAAATCGTCGAAAATAACTAGATAATCCTAAGAACCCGTGTAACTGCTTAATATTTTGTGGTGGTGGATACTTAATTATTGCTTCAATATTTTGTGGACTAGGCTGTATGCCTTTCTCGCTAACCTCGTAACCAAGATATACAATTTCATTTTGTAAGAAAAAACATTTATCAAGACGAAACTCGAGTCTGTAAAGTGCTGCTTGTTTGAAAACTAGGGCCAAAATGTGAAGGTGCTCATCTAATGTTTCTGTGGCAACCAAAATATCATCTATATATAATAGGATTTTGTGTTCTCTAATTAAGGTGTCAAAAATCATACACATAAATCTTTGAAAGACTCGTGGTGAAGTAGTTAATCCAAAAGGTACCCTCAAACATTCAAATTGGCCTAATGGTGTTGTAAAAGATGTGTACGGTACTGATGTCTCGGCGACTCTAACATGGTGGAATCCATTTCTTAAATCCAATGACGTGAATATTTTTTTTCCTCGAAGTTGATCCAATTGGTCATCAATTAAAGGTGTCGGAAAGTTGTCCTTGATGATAATTTTATTAAGTTCGCGATAATCCACACAAAGTCTATAATCACCAGTTTTCTTCCTTACTAGGACAATGGGGCTACTGTATGGCGATAAGCTAGGTCTAATTATAGCTTCCTGACATAAGTTGTCTAAAATCTTCTGAAGTTCTATTTTTTCTACATAAGATAATCTTCTAGGCCGAAACGAAATGGGTTGATCGTGTTTTAGGCTGATTTTCATTTCAAAGTTGTGTTCAAGTGACGGTTGTTGAAGGTTATTTACGTAATTACTCTCATAACAGTTATACACAGCTTCTTTGATATTTGAACTTAAAGACGCATTAATGTTTAACTCATCTTTAACCAACTCTGAACTATGAACATAATCAATGTTTAATATTTCTCGAAACTGATTGTCATTCTTTACAATTGAGACTTTAGAACCAAAGGTTACCTTAATATCAGGGTTACTAATAAAATCCCGACCTAAAATTGCACTGTATTGCATGGTCTCATTTGGGACTACATAAAACTTGATTGTAACGGCTATCCCATCAACGAGAACCTCTTTTTCATAAATACCCAGAACTGTTAGAATACTCCTATTTATGCCCGAAAAGTGCTCACTCTGTGAAGCATCTTGTGTATAAAATTTTGGAGGTACATAATTGCTCTTAATTAAACTAATAGGACTACCTGTATCTAGCAATGATCTTAAATTATAACTACAACTAAAGTCAACATCATTCAAATCGAAAATTACCGAACATTCATAGTCATTCACCTTAAGTTCATCATGGAGGACATGAGTGGTGCCTCCCTGGACAGATCTCTTGTGGTCCGGACAATCTGGTCGTTTATGGCCCATTTTGCCACAATGGAAACAGGATCCCCTTTCTCTTCTTGGTTTGGGACAGCTAACTGCTTTATGGCCTTCCTCGCTGCAATTGAAGCATCTCATTGGCGGCATGTTGTCTCGAGTTGAAGTTGTATTCCGGTTCCTAAAATGAGTAGTATTACTATTTTGCGAATTACGGACTACTTCATTGACGTGTGGTACGGACGCTGTACTATTTCCATTTCCGCGATCGCGATCAGTTACATTGTTCATGATTCTTAAAAGTTCATTTAATTGTCTAAAGTCATGCATACGTGCTTGCACCTGTAACACCTGATTATCGAAACCGTCAATTACATATTCAATCATGTCCCGTTCACACAGTTCCAGTTCGTTGCCCAATGTGACCTTGTCATTGAAATACACCGAAAACTTTTCCGATCTTTTCCACCTCCTTGACTCAAATTTCCGCATCAACTGAATGTGGTCCGGTCGACTTTTAAACATATTTTCCATCTCATGTTTTAATGCATTCCATTTTAGATTTATAAAAGATAGCTTAGAATGATACCATTGTAGTGCTTGATCCTTTAATTTTCCAACTGCTACTAACGTCATGATGTCCTCTGGTACCCCATAAGTCCTCATCACCGCATCTACCCGTTGTATCCACGTCTCTACGTTACTTGTTCCATTAAATTCCGGTAGTAAGGCTGCAACTTCTTTATGACTAAATCGAGTACCTGTCATAAACTGTTCTGTCCCTCTCGCCTGTGGCTCCTGCGAAGGTTGATTCCTAGACAGTTCCAATGTTCGTATCGTTGCTTGTATGATGTCTTCGACTGTCATCATTACCCCTTCAGATCCCAACCGTCGATTCTGTCGCTCTTGCTCCTCGTTCACAGATGTATCTGGATCGCCACCGCCTCGTGCCATGTGTACACTTTCATCACCCAACATCCTAAATTTGCCTTTTATTTTTAACAATCCGGACTTACAATACGTTTTCCACTATCCCACTTCTGATGGCTGTAGTCGTCTTTATTGTTGATTATATATATTTCCACTCCTTTACATAAGTTTACATAAAACATAAAGTCATAAAAGATAAAACCAAACCGACTCACAATCCTAACCTAGCTTAATCCGTCACGTAACTAACTTCACAATGTACCGGGTGTTCTATAATCACCTACAATGATGAAGAGCACTCGGTCAGATTTTTCTAAATAAGCCATGTGAGGCCATAGCAACTTTAGGATACATTTTTCTTAAACTTACGATAACTTGACTTCACATGGCACGCGCTGACATCACAATTCATTGTGAACCAACCTTCAATTATTTGTAGGTCATGTGCACCTGATATTCTACTAATTTGATCTATTCAATACATAAATGAAGAAAATAAATAACG